GGGGGGGGGGGTGAGGTCATGAATCATGATGGTGGTGTTCCATGACTCAAAGTTCTCTGGTTTCAAATGCAAGAAAAATAAAATGTTTGGTAGTGTCTTCATCTGATTTTTTATTTGTCCCGAAAAACCCAGATGATATAATATGATTTAGTTATGTTTGGTAGAGGTCGTTTCTTGATATAAATTATCTTGGTGGGTCAACGTTTATAGCTTGGGATATGAACATAAAACAATGTTTTATCAAGAGATAAAATTTGAACCCCTCCTTGTTTTCCAGTTTCCAAAGGAGTCCAAAATTGTCTGCGTACTATGGATTCATGTTGAATTGCATTGGAGTTGCATTTCTAATAATTCCCGGGTTTATGGAGTCTAGAGATTCATATTGCACGGGTAAAAACAGTAAGAAGAGTGTATCTGAACATATACAAATGAATAAAAAGTTCGGTTGTGTCATGAATCCGAGGATTAGGGTACAACGTTTCTGTGTTATAAGAACTCTGTTTTCAAATATACGGTACAACGAAACAGATAAAATAATTGTTAAGCAAAAAATAAGAAAGATTGTTAAACATATAATGATATGATTATAACATATAAACTGAAAGAATCTGACTCCTATGCTATTTCTTGTCCTCAGGCTGATGATCTAAAGACAGACACTGCAAAAGAACACAGAGTCATGCACAAGCATATGGCAAAAAGACTTCACATGCATGGAAGGATCTAAAGATGAATCTTCATGTCACTGAGTTTGCTCCAAATATGCAGTGACAATGCCAACACTTCCAAAACACAAACACCAGAGTCTGCAGTGACAATAACATATCTTTTCCCTTCATCGGTCTCCTCATGAATTTGGCAGGTGAGATTACACCATTCGTAAGTCTACATCTTTGTGTTTCATTCACGTGTGAGCATATTTGTATTTGATGAAAAATACGTATTAGTAGCTTATAAAAAGAGATTATAGATTAGTTTGAGCTTTTGTCTTGTGGGCACTAATGTTGTGTCCTGAACCCAGTGGAAGTTAGTTTTACAGGAGAAGAGGTTGGTTGACTTGGAAAGGGCAAAAGAAGAAAGTGGGTGTCCCAAAAGTGTTAGGCTTTGGTGGACATTTGGGTCCAAAGTGTTTTACTCAAATCATGATTTTGGCGCAAAAAGCTATTCCACTTGTGCAAAGATCCTTGGATAACAGTTGGAAATTGGAATACAGATAAGTCTTTACCAGTTCTTGAATGTGTACAGACATATCTCCTTAAAAAAACAACCATGTTCAGCAAGAAACTGGATCTGAGTCACAACTTCGGCTTGGTAATTTTTTAGGACCACAAACGAAGATTAAAGATTTATGTGGAATGAGTTGGATCTTGTTGAAACTGATATCAATAACCATATAGCTCGGGTGTTTGTCCAAAAGCATGATGTCTGTGCCAGGAAAGACTTGATATTTGCATAATTCTTTGTGGAGGATAGGTTTTGTTTGCATATATTGATTAGTCATGACAGATTGGGTTGAGCGTGTAATGTGATGTCTCAAGTAGTTTGTGCAGGTGATGATGATGGTACAAGCAAAAGTCATTCTATGAGAGCTTTGTAGGCAGTGGACCCCCCCGGCCCCTTTTGCCTACTCTCTTTTACCTGCACAATGACTCTGCACTTCCACAATCTCCAATTTTTTCTTGTAATATACCAAAGTGATAAACTGGTTTTGAGAAGAGATGAGGAATTACAAGTTCAGATGGTCAGATATGATCCCTAATGCATGGTTCCACAAGCTCAAGGACATGAGCAAATCACCCAGGGCTAAGCCTTCAAGCATCAATGGCAAGAAGAAGAAACCCTCTGATTCTCTTCCTCATCCTTCAAGCTTTTACTTCTCCAACAGATTACACGCTTGTTCACAAGCTCATTTCCAGCAAAAGTCACCAAGAAGATCTTTCATCATGAGAAGGGCCAAAAGAAAGACTGTTTACAAGCCATCTCCCAAGCCATTTCATTATTCTCCTCCTCCTCTTCCTCCTCCTGTATCCGCAGGATTTACGACGGATTGGAGTCACAGCATAACCAAGATTCTTCATAACCAAGATTCTTCAGATTGCATGTTCCCGGCTCTTGAAAGCTCTTTGCACTCATTTCTCAAGGGCAAAGGTTGGGCGACTTCCCTATCTGCTGGTGTCGGGGATGAAGGACTTAACCGTTCATCTCTAGCTTATAACTTTAGCATGTCAATTCACCTCACGGACTCTGGCTTGGAGAAGGTACAATTGCTTTCAACTTTGTGTATGGTTATGTTAAACCATTTTCAGCTGGACAGATGCTCTTCCGAGTCATTTCCGTTCAGTTTTTATGATGGTGTTGATGATGATTGCATTCCTCCTGCTTTGTTTGATGATCAACCAGCCTCGTGGTCCCGCTGTTCCAACTTAATAATCAGTTCTTCAGCAGAGGATATCGTAATCGATATGAAAGAGGATGCATTCACGAAGACACCACTTGAAGAGATTGAAGGGTTTAAATCTGTATCACTGAAAATGAGGAAACCCTGCCCTGCAAGTAACCAGGCCAACGGAATGAGGAAAAACCATCTTTCTGCAAAAGTTACAAAAGGAAAAGACGACCGTGACTGTAGAATCCAGAAGAAACATAAAAAACCAGTTTCTGGTGGCAGAAGATCCTTTGTGAATTCTCCAGGGGTAAAACTGAGAGTAAACTCTCCAAGAATTCAAGTTTCTGCTCGTAGAAGCATGTCCCAGTCGCATAGCAAACGAGTTCTGGACAGTTTTGCGGTGATCAAATGTTCAGTTGATCCCGAGAAAGATTTCAGAGAATCCATGCTGGAGATGATGATGGAGAACAACATCACAACGTCAAAAGACTTGGAGGATCTTCTCGCTTGTTACCTTTCCTTGAATCGAAAGGAGTATCATGATGTTATCATCAAGGTCTTCGAGCAAATCTGGTTTGAAACCACCGAGCTGCGTCTGCAATGAAGGAAAAGCTCTAGTGTTAATTACTTCCGGTAACGTCTTACTGTATCATTTATTCAAACAAGAAATAGTTTCTGATATCTTCCTCCGAACAAAAACCAGTTCCATGTTCTGTCTGTAAAAAGCTACAATCATTTTGAACACACCTCGATCAGTAAGCGAGTGAAGATTTTTGTATAAATTAGCACTTTCAAAATGAAATCTAATCGTCTGTATAGCCAACAACATTTTGCCAAACCATTAAAAACCAACGCTTTCAGACTCAAAGTTGGTGTGAAAATGAAAATGAAATGGGTGACCACTTTGGTGCCAAAACATGGAAGAGGAGCCTAAAGAGCATAGTCGCTGGGGAGGAAGAGGACCACTGACACAGAAGATGATATGATATTCACTAAAGAGCAAGGGCAGACACAGATAAGAGATTCAGATTCTAGGCATTTTGTGAATGAATAAAGAAGAGGACCACTTTTGCAGCCCATCTCTCGCCTCTGCAAATCATATTTCCCCCGCCACAGACAAGTGGGTATGGGCGTATTCTTATGAGCTGCTTCGATCATTTGTTGGCTTCTGGTGCTATGTCAGGATTCTCCCTCTCCACACCATACTCGGTTATGAGTTGCATTGTCGGTTTAGAGAGGCAATAGCAACGTGGGGAGTTCCCGGGTTGGTTAGAGAACCAATGCAATGTTTACGCTTGCCTCGGTTACGAGTCATTGCGATTTTTGGATGCAAGAAGAGTGCTAGGTAAGGTTGTTATATGAAGAACCAACGAGATTAGATGAGCTGTTCCCAGAATGACTAAAGAACTTAGTTCCAAAGCTTTCACCATATCGTGCTTACTTGCTTTCAGATCTCTGAGGTCATAAAAAACCGGCATAGTCTTGATCGAAGGATGAGGTTGTTCTGCGTCCAACTCCACACCATTTGAAATCTTAAGCGTGTTGCTGAACGGTCCATGGCCAGGCATAAGATCTGGCAATTCATTCTTCACCAGAACAATTTCTGCAACAAAGTTGATAAACATTAATCGAAACTCAAAGCAATATCTCACCATGCTTCAAACCGAAAATATCAGAAAATCCTGAAGAAAAGCCAAACAAACGCATTCAACATCCAATACCTAGCAATCCTGCATCCACAAATCATTATCAAATTCGAAGCCTGAAGTTCAAATGCGTTAGCCTTTGCCCTCATCTTTGAAAACACTCGACATATATTACCAATTGTCTCTCCCTCTACTGCTTCGTCCCGAGACTCCAAATTTTCAGAAGCACCCATTTCGTGAAGTAGCTCTGAGACAAGTCACTTCAAGGAAACCAAGGGTTTGTTCTTCGCATTGAATTCAGTCAGCTTATCAGTTATCAGTGAAGGGTGAGAGTTTCAGCCTTTGGCGGTCGTTTCGTCCTCGAGCTTACGAATGACCAAGCTACTAGCTTTATCGCAAAGCGTCATTACCCTCTTCGTCCAGATTCGTCAATTTGCTTCAATGGAACCTCTTTTCGTTATCTTGAAAAGGAGACATCTCACTGTGCATTTCATTGCAACTCGACAGCATACTTCTTTCGGTGATTCCTGAACTTGAGAACCTTCTTCGCATAGAATCTCCACCAGAATCCTCAAGCGTTCGAGATTTTCTCCTCCTCAACAAGGCCGTCCTCTACTCCCTTCGAAATCTCACTGGTAATAGCTTTCTTCCTGCGCGGGAGCCCCATTCTCGAGCTCATCCGACAGATTCTACGAGAAATTGAATTGGATTTTGCAGAAATATCAGAATTCTGAAGCCCTGGATTTCGCGATCCGAAAGGGTTTCACAGAGAAACCAGTTCCCGGAAATCGAATCCCATAAAATTTCAAACTTTTCAGTTTTATGAATGAAACTCGCAGGGAGGCAGCAGGGGGTGCACGCCTTGCCAGTCACGTTTTACGAAGCAACAAAGCGTGTGGTTTTTCTTTATCCTAAACGGCTTACACTTCATACGTGCTGCGATAAAAAAACCCAAGCTTCTTTGCTCTTTGAAGAGGCTAGACCTAAGCAAAGCCAGAGGAGAAATTCTCATCTCATCAGTACAGTAGTTTCCGGCGAGACGAGGGCGACAATGACTGCAACACGAATCGTGTCGTCGTCCGACGATGTTGTGGTAAAGTCTCCCAACGATCGGAGACTGTACAGAACGATCGAGCTTGAGAATGGGTTGTGTGCTCTGCTTGTTCACGATCCCGAGATTTACCCCGACGGCTCTGCGGCGGATGCGCACAACACCGACGGGGACGAACACGATGAAGATGAATACGGTAGTGAGGATGAAGATAGCGAAGGAAGCTACGAGGAGGACGATGAGGACGATGAAGACGGAGAGGATGAAGAGGAAGAAGATGGGGAAGCAGATGAAGAAAGGGGCAATACTCAAGGAGGTTCTCAGACCAAAAAGGTTTCAATGACTGTTATTGACTTGAATCTAGAGCTCAATTCAAGCTGCTTCTGTCATTGTATTAGCTTATGCCTATCAATTGTGGAAGAAATCTAGTTCGGAGAACTATGGTTTTTGTTCTTTGTCTTTCTCAGGCAGCTGCAGCTATGTGCGTTTCAATGGGCAGCTTCTTGGACCCTCGTGAGGCTCAAGGTCTTGCACATTTCCTCGGTATGTTCGTCTTTCTCTGTGGGTGACAATGGTAATGAATTCATTAGTTGTCTTTTCCGAGTGATTGAATTCTGCATGTGCTGTGCAGAACACATGCTCTTCATGGGCAGCTCGGAATTCCCTGATGAAAATGAGGTAAGGCTTGCAATTCTTTTCCATAAATGCAAATGGTTTAGCCCTATCTGTGTATCATCTTTAATGGAGTATTCTGCTAATTTGTGAAACTGTGACTGTTGCCATAAAACAATGGGATTCTGCTACTGTGAAAAGCTATAGTCTTGTTGGCATGATTAAATATATTGGGGATCATATGTAGACTCTGTTTGAGCTGGCGATTTGACTCTTTGTTTTTTCTAGTATGACAGTTACTTGTCTAAGCATGGAGGATCCTCAAATGCTTACACAGAAATGGAACATACGTGCTATCACTTTGAAGTTAAGAGAGAGTTCCTTAAAGGTGCCTTGAAAAGGTAACCATAATCAGTTCAAGTATTGGCCTAGTTGCAGAAAACGTCTCTCTCCTTTGACAGTTTTCCGTAAATTAATCAAGGCAGACAGTATATGTATATTTATGCATGCCTATGTTCTTAGTGATAATCCAACGTATCTTTCTTTTTCTCTTAGAGTACTCTTAGGCATTCTTTTGAGCGTCTCTCTCAACATTACTTGTGTAGTGTTCTCTTTTTTCCATTTTGCATCGATATTGTAAAGGAAGTTTTGCAGTTCTCCATATTAGCCTTCTGGTTCCTTGCGTTAAGCTCGAGAATTTTATGTAGCCTAAATGGGTCGCTTGTTGTTTCATCCAAAACCATTTTTTGTATTGTTGTGTTCATATGCAGTATGTTGTCTTTCTTGCTACTCCTACTTCGAATTGTGTCTGTTTCATATTCCTTGTTTGCATGGCTATTTTCACCTCTCATTGGTTGTCCTTCTTACCAGGTTCTCTCAATTTTTTGTTTCACCCCTCATGAAAGTTGAGGCTATGGAACGAGAGGTGCTTGCTGTAGATTCAGGTTTGTTTAGTTGATTTACTAACCCATCTTGCTTCAACTTTCTGTAGATTACTGGGAAAGAGATCTATCTCGAATCGACATTCCCATGTGTCAAGCGTTTTATATAGCTAAAAACGTTGATCTTGATGCCCTACTCTTTACTTAATCACATTTTTTATGGTAGAGTTTAATCAGGCTCTGCAAAGTGATGCTTGCCGCCTTCAACAACTTCAGTGCCATACTTCTGGAACAAATCATCCGTTCAATAAGTTTGCATGGGGTAAGATTTATACTCTTCTTGCACCTTTGAAATATTAGTTCAGGAAGTCATTGTTTCCTTGGTGGCACTTGAAGGTAACAAGAAAAGCTTGAGTGATGCGATGGAGAGAGGGGTTAATCTCCGGGATTGCATAATGAAGCTGTATAAAGAGCATTACCATGGTGGGTTGATGAAGCTTGTTGTCATTGGAGGAGGTAAATTCTCTTGATTTATGTTTGGCTCTGATTCAATGGAAGTTATTATACTTTATCCTGAGACGAATTTGTTTTGGAGTTTGCATTTGTCTCTAATGTGTTTTAGTTTTATCCCTTTCTTTTGAATGTGGCAGAGTCTCTCGATGTACTTGAAAGCTGGGTTGTGGAATTATTTGCTGATGTGAAAAAAGGACCTCAAATCAGGCCGCCACTCAAGGCAGAAGGCCCTATCTGGAAAGCTGGTAACTTATATAGGTTAGAAGCTGTTAAAGATGTTCATATTCTTGACTTGATATGGACGCTTCCGAGTCTTCGCCACGCCTATCTGAAGAAACCAGAAGATTATCTAGCCCATCTACTTGGACATGGTGAGCGATATCTTCGTGCTTATCCTTGATACTGGAGTTTTCTTGGATTGTGTATGCACTTAGATTACATTAAATTGAACAGTGAAGACTTTCAAGGCTGTGGTTTAAGTTGATTTATGGAGGCATAAATTGTTACGAATCTCTGTTTTCAGAGGGTAGAGGAAGCCTGCACTCATTTCTCAAGGGCAAAGGTTGGGCGACTTCCCTATCTGCTGGTGTCGGGGATGAAGGACTTAACCGTTCATCTCTAGCTTATAACTTTAGCATGTCAATTCACCTCACGGACTCTGGCTTGGAGAAGGTACAATTGCTTTCAACTTTGTGTATGGTTATGTTAAACCATTTTCAGCTGGACAGATGCTTTTTGTCTCTTGCATGTTTTAAGTATTTTCCTGCACAGTATTTGATTTTATTATTTTTGGTTGGCCAAGCTGACGTGATGCTTTATTAGAATCATCTTGGTGTTGTCCCCATCCTCATCCTCTATATTTTTGTTAGTTCATTTTCCATCTCATTCTAACCTTATGATTACTTTTATTTGGCAGATATATGATATTATTGGTTATGTCTACCAATATCTCAAACTACTGCGAGACGTATCTCCACAAGAATGGATATTTAAAGAACTCCAGAATATTGGCAACATGGACTTTAGGTATGCTGAGGAGCAGCCTCAAGATGATTATGCTGCAGAACTCGCAGGTCCGTATTTCTCCTTGTTGATTTTTCATCTGCTACTCATCAAGAGTTTCTCTCTGAGGGAACTCTTTTTAGGCATTCACAGGCTTGGAAGAAAATAGTGTCTGTGTATTTGATTTTAATTTCCCCATGCGTTGATGTATGAATGAAACAGAACATATCTTCATGGTCTCTTTTCTTAATTAATAATCAGTAGGTGTCATTGTACAGAGAATATGCTTGCTTATCCAGTGGAGCATGTTATTTATGGGGACTATGTGTACACAACATGGGATCCAGAAATGATAAAGTATCTCCTGGGTTTCTTCACGCCAGAAAACATGAGGATTGATGTTGTTTCGAAATCCATCAAGTCACAAGGTACCTTAATGATTGTGTTCTTGCATGTCTTTTTAACTAGTGGATTGCACATGTACATTTTCTTGCTATCCTTTTATTTATGTTCCATGTTTCAGATTTCCAACATGAACCATGGTTCGGTTCACGATATGTGGAGGAAGATGTTCCATCATCTTTGATGGAAGCATGGAAGAATCCTTCTGAAATAGATACATCTTTGCATCTACCCGCAAAAAATGAATTCATCCCGTGTGACTTTTCCATCCGAGCCATGAACTCCGATGGGGACTCTAAAAATCAGTCTCCCCCTAGATGTATAATAGATAAGGCGCTAATGAAGCTCTGGTACAAGCTTGATGAAACCTTTAAGGTTCCTCGTGCAAATACATATTTCCGCATCAATCTGAAGGGTGGATATGATAGTGTGAAGAATTGCCTTTTGACAGAATTATTTATTAATCTTCTAAAAGACGAGCTCAATGAAACTATATATCAGGCAAGTATCTGATTTTTGGAAGAGTTTTATTAGGAAAAATCTTTTGGATGTTTTTTATTTCTGTCGATGTGTGGGAATAACATCTGATTTTCTGCAGGCCAGTGTTGCAAAGCTTGAAACTTCGTTATCTATGTATGGCGATAAGCTGGAGCTTAAAGTTTATGGCTTTAACGATAAACTTCCAGCTCTATTATCAGAAGTCTTAACTGTAGCCAAATCCTTCATACCAACTCTCGAGCGTTTCAAGGTATGTGCACATTTTACATATATCTCTATGCACTGTGGATATATTCATCAGAACTATGATTCTTGTTCCCATTTGTTAGAACAGCTTCCATTGAGTTTTATCATTTCAATTTGTTTTCCATCGTCCTTTCCTGATGTATATGTCTTTACAACTTCACGGATACGTTTTGAGGAATCGCTTTCCTGTATTTCGAACTTCTGGTTTACAAACAACTAATGAGGGCCCTTATAGGTTATTAAAGAGAACATGGAGAGAGGTCTCAAAAATACCAATATGAAGCCTTTGAACCATTCTTCATACTTGAGACTGCAACTCTTATGTAAACGTTTCTATGATGCGGATGAGAAGCTGTCTGTACTAAATGACCTGTCTCTTGCCGATCTCACCACCTTCATTCCTGAACTCCGTTCCCAGGTAACAGAGGACATTCATTCCCTTCTCGCTAACGCTCAAAATCTTGCTTGCGTATGGTCTCTAGATTTTTTCACGATTGACAATTGCTTAGCTATAACTTATATTTTGTTTTGCCTTTGGTTACCCCTTTATGCAGATATTCATCGAGGCTCTTTGTCATGGTAATTTGTCGGAAGAAGAAGCAAATAATATATCAAATATATTCAAAAGTAGCTTGATGGCAGAACCGCTCCCGAGCAAATTCAGACACGAAGAACATATAACGTGTTTTCCTCTTGGTTCAAATCTTGTAAGAGATGTCAGTGTGAAGAACAAGTCTGAAACAAACTCAGTGGTGGAGGTATCAATAAAATCAACGGTTTCTTGTCATGAGATTATGTCAACAAGGAACTATAGAACATAAAATCATTTCGTTGGTTATAGTTTCATTATACAATTGCCTTCTGATGTTCAGCTTTACTACCAAATCGACTCTGAAGAAGCTCAATCAACAAGGATGAAAGCCATTCTAGATCTTTTTGATGAAATCATAGAAGAGCCATTATTCAATCAGCTCAGGTTAGTTTGGTGCTAAATAGCTATTTCATCGCTTGTTTTCGAACAGGCTTTGCAACTCATGCACGTTCAATTTTACTTTCTTACAGGACGAAGGAGCAGCTTGGTTATGTAGTTGAGTGTGGCCCTCGCTTAACGTATCGAATCCATGGTTTCTGTTTCTGCGTTCAATCTTCAAAGTACAGCCCGATTTATTTACTCGAAAGAATCGATGGCTTCATAACCAGCATTGATGAGCTGCTGGTAAGCATCTGTAGTTCAAACTCAAAAGGAAATTCTCAAAAGTTTCACGGCCTTCCAGCCATTTACTCGGAAATGTAATTGCAGGAGCAACTTGATGACAAATCTTTTGAAGACTATCGAAGCGGTATGATTGCTAAGTTACTGGAAAAGGATCCATCTCTGTCATATGAGACAAATCGGCTTTGGGGTCAGATTGTTGACAAAAGGTAACATGTTCATAGCCCAAAACACCGATTTCCAAATTTGAAAGCATGCATCCACATATTGTTTAGGGCAGATGAAAAGATTGGAGCTTTAATTTGCAGGTACATGTTCGATTTCTCGGTAAAGGAAGCAGAAGAGCTAAGGAGCATCCAGAAGAAAGATGTGGTCGACTGGTACAGAACCTATCTCACTGAACCATCTCCCAAGTGTCGGAAGCTTGCGGTTAGAGTTTGGGGCTGCAACACTGACATGAACGAAGGTAAATCAGTTCCAAAGTCTGCGGAGATCATTACAGATGTTGCGGCGTTCAAGTCATCATCTCAGTTCTATCCAAGCCTTTGCTAAAAAAAAAACCCTACAAGAGAGAGATTATAGATTCTTCATTTCCAACTCTCAATTCATTTTATAGATTCTCCCTGTTTTTATTTTTTGGTTGGTTATTTACAGAGAGATACGGTTCCTGGATATGTTGCTCAAAAAACATGTCTGAATTTATCAGCGTTGCAACATTGGTCCTACAAGTGAGACAATTGTTACAAAAAAAAATTCATAGAAATTTCGTTAAAGAGTATTATTTATTAATTTCACTGCAACATTTGTTTAATTTGGTAATTAATCTCTTAAAAGTATTACGTTTTCAATTCATTAATTACCGTATCTTTTTTAACATTTTCCTTGTGTTTTGCTGTTATTGGTCGTGGGCCCCACCTGCGCAGAACACTTCTCTCTCGCTCTCCGATTCGGCTCTTCCTGTACGGTGCTTGAGTGCTGCTGACTCTCAAAATTGCACAACGGTAGGCTCCTCTTCGTCGACGAGATCTCTTCTTTTCTTCTTCCTCGGAGCTCGAGGTTCCTGGTTCTCCCGAGGTTACTCTCTCTCTCTCTCTCCATTTGGTGTTTTCTCTCTTTGATGAAATTTCGTAGAATTGTTTGCTCATCTCAATCTGAAACCGGCAGATCTAGGGTTTATAGCTTCTAGTGTTGTTAAATCTTTGCCGTTCTCCGGGATTTGCAGTGTTTGCCTTGTTTCATTCCGTTATTGGGTGTTCTAACATCGCCATTGTTGCAGTCGAGCTGCTCCGGACTTTGATCCTCTCGCATTTCGTACGCGTTACGCGCGAATGAGGTTAGTTTCCAGATCGTTTTTGGTTTCTGTGAGTTTTCGCCTTGAATTCTTCCACGTGCTTCCGTATGATTGGCAACTTATGGAGATCTTTCGTCTTTGTGACGGTGAATAGATAATCGTAGATCGTAATTGAGGCGGGGAAAGATAAGAGAACGACGATGAGCGAGGGGCAGAAGTTCCAGCTTGGAACCATCGGTGCTTTGAGTTTGTCAGTTGTGTCGTCTGTGTCGATCGTGATCTGTAACAAGGCCCTTATTAGCACTCTCGGTTTCACCTTTGGTAAGCTACTCCCTTCTTACTCGTAGAGTTTCAAGGGTCGGACTCACTTTTGGTGATCCATGTAGACGTAGAAAGCATTTTCGCCATGATCTACGCGCCTTCTTATGTGCTAATGGTTATTCTGCACGGCTCATGTAGACGTAGAAAGCATTTTCGCCATGATCTACGCGCCTTCTTCTGTGCCAATGGTTATTCTGCACGGTTCATGTTGCTGACTTGATTATACTTTATGCTCTGATGGATGATTAATTTGGCATTAGGTGTCATTTTTTGAGTTTCTTATTTTGTTCCCCTCGGAAACAGGATCCGTAGGAGTATTGCTCATAAAACGTCTGGAACGTTGGAAGAGAAAATATCTATAACAGCTTAACAAAATATTGAAATTTTAGATGTCAGAATTATTTTGAGTGATTCTTGTGGTTTTCACGTATTTAAGGATGCTTGCCAATGGTAAGGTGCCTTGCACATAGTATAGTGGGCATGATGCTGTTACATCCTTTTCGGGAGCTCAAGTTATTGTTGCTGTGTATGTATCGATCTCATAATCCTTCTGTGCTTACCGTTTTTTTTTTAATTCACAGCGACCACTTTGACAAGTTGGCATCTTTTGGTCACGTTTTGTTCTCTTCATGTGGCATTATGGATGAAGTTGTTTGAACACAAGCCTTTTGATCCACGAGCTGTTATGGGATTTGGCATATTAAATGGCATATCCATTGGACTGTTGAATCTTAGCTTGGGTTTTAACTCTGTTGGTTTCTACCAGGTATAGCTTTGTTATTTCAGCTGCCGCGTGATGTGATATCCTTTTATTAATCTGCGCTGATCTAAGCACATCTTCTCTTCTCTGAATATTAGATGACAAAACTGGCAATTATCCCCTGTACTGTTCTCTTGGAGACTCTCTTTTTCAGGAAGAAATTCAGGTTAGTACCTGACCTGTATGGTCAACTTAGATGGTATAATATATGTCCTCTTTATTCTCCTGCCAGATATCCGTAGTCTTAGTGGTAGCTATTTGGAGATTAGTTTTTAGAAATGATGCTTCCACGTAAGGATTTCCTGCTGTAAGGTTCCTGCATGTCGTCTATTCTGTTCCATAGAGTAAATGCTCGACTTTGTTCATCTTTGTACTTCATGGTGCCCTGCTGCGGGCCTAAATCCAAACTTCCATTGTGGTGTATCGTGGAGTGTCTGTGCAACTTACAACCGTTCTTATTACTGTGTCATGTAACCCTTTGCCCTTTCTGTTAATTATTCTTCCTCAGAAATTTTCATGGTGCCTTGGCTATAGCAAGCTATTATTCATCAACGATTAGTCTATAACACTCTTGCTTTCCATTTTACTGTTGTAAATGATACTCTTCATTGCATCTGCAGTCGAAAAATCCAGTTTTCTTTAGCCATCCTTCTCCTTGGTGTTGGAATTGCAACAGTGACAGATCTTCAGCTCAATGTTCTGGGATCTGTCTTGTCTCTGCTGGCTGTTCTCACTACGTGTGTGGCCCAGATTGTATCCGTTGATTTTCTCATTTCTTTCGTTCCTTTTGCCTTTTCTATATGTATTATCTTAGCAAGTACTATTGGTAGTGGGTTTTCTGCTCTATCTAATCCAACATAAAACAGATACCCGTTGAATTCTTTGCTGTTCTTTTGTTACCTTAACCAAATCTATGCAGATGACTAATACCATCCAGAAGAAATTCAAGGTTTCATCCACCCAACTTCTGTATCAGTCTTGCCCATATCAAGCCATGACGCTTTTCATCATTGGCCCATTTTTGGATGGGCTCCTGACCAACCATAACGTGTTTGCTTTCAAGTACACCTCTCAAGTCCTGGTGAGAATCGATGGACTCAGATAGGCAGCACTGACTCTGGACTTTCTCTCATTAAATTTCCGGTTCAATTGCTTTTTTTTTTTAATATCAGTCCATAGTTGAACATGCTTTCCATGACTTTGCAGTTTTTCATTGTCCTGTCCTGCCTCATATCTGTTTCGGTGAACTTCAGCACCTTTCTGGTCATAGGAAAGACATCTCCAGTAACCTATCAGGTCCTGGGGCATCTGAAAACATGCCTAGTTTTAGCTTTTGGATACGTTTTGCTGCGTGACCCGTTCAACTGGCGCAACATTCTGGGAATACTGATTGCTGTGATCGGAATGGTTGTCTATTCGTATTGCTGCACAATGGAGACCCAGCAGAAAGCAAGTGAAACATCACCATCAACCCTGCTGCCCCAGGTAAAAAAATCCCGTCTCTTTTGAGGGATAACCATTGAACGAACTCAATCATTTGGTTTGTGTTCTCGTGTGCATGGACAGAGTACACTGCTTTTTGGTCATATTGATAAGCATAATAATAAATATTAATCAAAAGGATAAAGAGTATTTGTGCCATCTACCAGGTGAAGGAAACCGAGAACGATCCACTAATTACAGCGGAGAACGGGAGCGGCGGAATGTTATCAGAAAGTGTGGTTCCAAAGACCCCGTGGAACTCGAACAAAGATCTTCATGCATAGAGAAGAGCCCATTGCAGCTTGCTGTCTGTATCAGACATTCTTGGTTTTATTTCTCTGGGAGAGGAAGCAGTTTTGCTGTGAGAAAAAAAAAACTTTTTTTTTTTTTTGAAAATCCTCTTCATTTTGCATAGCTGAGAGGAGACAAAAAAAAATACACAAGACAAGTGAGAAGTGCATGTTGATTAAAATAAAATTTATGCATAAAATAGCAAGTTTTGGCTCTTTTGTGTTTCTATTTTGTCTATAGAGTTTAAGTTCTATATTTTATATTGATTCTTTATGTCAGCAAGCACCAGTGGTCTAGTGGTAGAATAGTACCCTGCCACGGTACAGACCCGGGTTCGATTCCCGGCTGGTGCAAACAATAGAGCTGTGAGGATTCCTGCTCCTGCGGCGGTTGGGTCTGTCGCATTCGTCTGACTTTCCTCGGACGATATACAGCCATGTCTGAGCTCTTTCTTTTTTTTTTTCCACGAGTACAAACTTAAATGCATCCTATATACATTATTAGACAACAAACATGGGACAATGTTACAATTACAATGTCTCTTCTCACTCGTCCCTTCAACCAAACAGACAATACACGTTCCAACGAAAACAACGGAATCGCGGTGAAGAACCAATCTAAAACCATACACACAAATTCCCTATCTCCTTTTCGCAGAGAGAATCTGAAGAATAAATAATCAGAGGGCTCCGACTCCAGCCGAACCCCTACATGAATCAACACCACTTCTCCCTGACCAGACCAGCTTTGTTGTCAATCTATTAACAAAATTCTACAAATATCAAATCACGCCACGGTAGAATCAACGATTTTTTTTTATCTTTTTTCTTTTTTTTTGTCAACAGCCACCCATTCCAAACTCCAGCCTTTCTCAATACGCGGAGCTACTCTCACTAGCCGACAGTGACGGCCCTTCAGATTTCACAAGGCTTGAACTCTTGCTACTTATCTCCAGCCCTTGCAATCTCCCTACTCCGTCGTTATGCAGGAATTCCGCTACAGCTTGAGAGTTTGTCATCTCCAATGGGTGAATAGGCATGCTGGGTTGATCCAGACTGAACACAGGCATCTGCATACTCTGACCGTTTGTTGGAACGCCCAGAAACATTGGGGGGTTGTATACCGAAGGACCTGAGATTTCCCCTGTCGCAATCTTTAGCCTTTCAACTTCTTTCCTCAGGGCTTCGTTAAGAGCTGTTTATCCAGAAACAGTGAAGCATTCGTGTTGATCATACAGATTATGTAAATCGAATCATAATCATAAATCATCATCAACACCAAATGCATATAGATCGGAGAGCAAAATGTAGCTGAATCGAGCGTATTACCATCCCGTAGCTGAGCCTGTTGTTCCATTGCTTGCAACCTGATTTTAAGCTCCGTATTTTCGGTAGTCAGTCCATTTGTGTCTCTCTGCACAAGACCAGAAAGCAAATGGACAAAGACATCGGTCTTTAGCTATAACTGAAATAACATACGACTAGAAACTTCCATATCAAGCTACTCATCCGGTGGTTCGTGCACGGCGTTGTGATTAATGTGAGAATCAAGAGTTCTTTCATTATGCAAAACCCTGAGAACGCACATCAAAATGAGAGCAGATTAAGAACCTGGAAGAGAGTGAGCTGAGCAGAGAGAGTAGTGGCTTCGGTTTGAAGTGTCTGAACTTTGCGCTCCAACTCCTGAATATAGCGAGCTTTTCTCTCCTTGGAACGTGCAGCAGACTGCCGATTCGCTAAAATCCTGCATCAATCGCAATCGCCGATCGATTTATACCACGGAAATCATCGCAATCCCAAAGAATGCCATGCACAATGGGAGTTCAGAAGAGGAAAGGAAGAGGACGAACCTTTTGGCGCGCTTAGGATCGACGGCCCAGAGCTCGGCAAGCTTATCGGGAGGCATGGCCTTCTTCGCCTCCATCATTTCGCCGGCGTACATCGCGCAGCCGGCGTCGACGGAATTGCTGTGGCGGGGGCGGGGGCGGGAAGAGGAGGAGGACGGCGGAGGAGTGGCGGTGGAGGAGAGGGAAAGCGGCGAAGCAGAGGGGCGGCGGAGGAGGAGTAGGAGGAGGATGGGAGGAGAGGCTGTGGACGTCGATGAAGGAGGAGAAGAGATCGTCGTCGGAGGGGAGGTCATCGGAGGAAGGAGGAGCTGCGGAGGAGGAGATGAGTGGATCCATGAGCATCAGCATCGACATGTCGTCGGATCGGCAACGGCGATGGAAGGAGGAGGGGTTGGGATCTGCAGCGGAGGTCTTAGCCGGAGGATCAGAGCTCTCCATCCTCCGGATTCGAATTGCGCGACGAAGAAGGAGAACAATGTGAAGATGAAGAGACTCTCTCTCTCTGAAAATGGGATGAACTCAACTGTGAGGAGAGAGAAAGAGAAGTAACGAACTATCAATTGCCAATGATTTCTTGAAAACACAATTTTGTCAAGCACGAAAAATAGTGCCCTCTCTCTTTCCACCGGAATTTCTCTCTCTTTTTTTTTTGTCATCGTTTATTTTCGATTAATGCTAACTAGTCAGTTACCGTCAAACCAAAACGTTGGCAAACATCTAATCATTATTTTTTCATATACAAAAATTGATATCTGCAAATTGAATATAAATTGCGATGCTGTTGCTAACTATGTTACAATAATGCGAATTATATTTAAAGTAAATATCATTCAGAAATGGATCAAATACAAATTTTCTTGGAAAAAAAATGCAAAATTGAACGGCAATTATAACGAAATATATAAAATAAATAAATGTGATTAGAAAAAAAGAAAAAAGAAAAAGAAAAGAAAGGGAAGAATACATAAGGGGGGGAGATTGGTGCATCTTCAATGTCGCAGGCGCACATTCACACGTGAAGGACCCTTTCTCTTGTCTCCCCTCTCTCTCTCTCTCTCTCTCTCTATATATATATATATATATATAGAGAGAGAGAGAGAGAGAGAGAGATGCATTTAATCAATCTCTTAATGACAACCGAATCTCTCTCTTCTCTTAATTAATCTCCTAATCAAAGTCACCAAAATCTCACCCTTCGTTATGCAAAAAAAAGAAAGAAAGAAGAAAAAAGCTCACCCAAGTCAAAGATTTTGCTTGCAGAGGACAACATAAAAAAACAAAACTCAGACTGCCTCCCTCCACCACAGTGGCACAATCCCTTCAAAAATTTCAACCTCCTTACAATTAACTCAAGATGAAGAAACCAAAAAGGACACTGTCACTCTTTGCTTCTGTTTTCTTGATCGGCCACTCCTCCTAACAAACCTCCTCGACCATTCCCACGGCTTTCCACGGCCTCATCTTCTTTCTCCCGCAAGGGAATTCCCACTCCCTCTTTGTTGTAAGGATCGCTATTCAGATCTATCCGACCACTGGTGGATCCTTCTTTCCCTGGCTTGTTCTTGTCCGGCTCTGCCTTCTGGGCTTCTTCTTCTTCTTCTTCTTCTTCCTCTTC